TCGACCTCTTTGTGGAGATCGGAATTGGCGTCCGACAGACGCTCAATCACCCTATCGGCATCGTACACATGGTCAATTAGCGCCATAGTGTAGTATTGGCCCTACATGAAGATAACGTTAGGATCCATGAGTAGAAGGAAAAGCCAAATGGGAGAGGAACGCCTCTGCTTACCCAAACAAGGGATATAGCTGCCTGGTCCATCAGCACCATGGAGGAGGAACAGTAGAGCTCCGTCGCCAACATCGGATGGAGCGCCCCTTGACTGAACTCTTGAGCGGTTGACCTGTCGGCCTAGATCCGACTATCGGCCTTGAGGGTCGCCCACCACGAGGTCAGCCATGCTCAGGACCTAGAATGACTCACCTTCGATGCGAGGTCAGATGCGGCACAAGTCCTGCATCGACTTCGGGCGGGTCGGTGGTTTCCTTGAGGAGCTACCGCTAGATGAACTGATTGCCCCTTTTTTCTTTGCGCTTGTTGAGCCCTCACCTTGGGGGTAACTCCCACTTCGGACGACCCTGGGGCAGCCCTTTCATAAGTCCCCGAGTTCTTGTACACCTTCCGAATCCCCATTTTCGCCCTCTTCTTCGGGCGACCTGCCTCCAGAGATCCCGACTTCTTTGAGGCACCTCCAACGCCAGAACCCTCGCCAACTCGAGATGGTGGCGTGACAAGCTTGGAATGAGACATCCCTTTCAATGATTAGAGGTTTACCATCTCTACGAACAAAAGGCCGATCGGTCAGCTGCGCTCGAGGCAAGGTGAATGATCCATAACATAAGAACGGTCGTATCCCTAATGGCTGGGCTTAGTCCCACCTCGACCAGCCACTCCTCGGTCATCCCCCTAATTGCCTGAGAGGACAAAATTTCCCTTAGACGATTCACGTTTGCAGTATCTCCATCAGAAAGAAACGATGGGACATTGTTGATGGTTCGGGAAGTCCATCCAATGTTGAAACCCCACCCCCGACTGCAACTAATAAAAAAATAGTGACTCTTCCAACCCTTGTTATTGGAAGGAGCATCGCTGATTTTGAACCCGCCATTGGCGGTCAGGTGATACCCTCCTCGCCCCTTACACAGACGGAAGCAGGCCAAGAAGAGTGTCTGGGTTGGCTCGATTCCCGCTCCCCAACATTCCCCGAGAAAAGCTATCATATAGCGCCAAGAGTTCAACACCATCTGAGACGGCGATATCCCCCACTTACAAAGGCACTCCTCGATGACGGGATTCAACGAAAAATATAGTCCCGCCTCGAGGGCATCCACGGTCAGCCTAAATCTGTGGGGAAACGGATCATATGGTCGCTGACCAGGTCGTGAGGCATAAAGCCCATAACTCTTCGGGATACAGTAGCGATCCTGAATCAGACCCAAGAGTTCCTCGGTCACCACTGAGTCTACATCATGCCACGACTTAATTGTTTCAAGGGCGGCAGAGACCTTCGTGACCTCCAAGGGTATGCCACCCGAAGATGAACTAATAACCTCTACCCCCGGGCTCCTAGAGGACGACTCATGTGCCCCGGCAATCGACCGACTTGAAGAAGAGGACGAAGAGGAAGATAGAGACATCCCAACCTCGAGATTAAGAGGAAGGAGCCGAGGCGTGGAACAAGAGGCTAGGCAACACTGTGACAACTACTCCGGGAGGAACTTATAAAGGGGGAAGCGAGTCCACCATGAAGCGACGTTTGGGCTTCCCGAGGGAAGAGAGGATCGCAGCATTTAAAACCTATCATAACTCCCTAAATCCCCCCAGATTCCCCAGTCTCGAAGCTCCCGCCAAAAGCCGCTCATGACGGGAAATCTCTCGCCAGAAGCCGCTCGTGATGAGAACGTTCTCACCAAAACTTGTGTCACCCCGCTCGAACATGAGCACTCGGGTACGCATGCACACCACCGTACATGCGTTTTGGCACGTCGCCTAGCGGCCATGCCGACAAGTAACTCGTCAGTCCAAAACCTGAGCCCGAGTTCAGTTCTTCGGCCAGCAGGTTCAGTCTTTGCCCGAGTCGCATAGCTCAGTCTCCCGACCAACGACTCGCTAGTCCAAACCTGAGCTCAAATTCAGTTCCTCGGCCAGTAGGTTCAGTCTCTGCCCGAGTCGCATAGCTCGGTCCCCCGACCAATGACTCGTCAGTCCAAACCTGAGCTCGAGTTCAGTTCCTCGGCCAACAGGTTCAATCTCTGCCCGAGTTATGCAGCTCGGTCCCCCAACCAACAACTCGTCAGTCCAAACCTGAGCCCGAGTTCAGGTCCTCGGCTAACAGGTTCAGCCTCTGCCCGAGTCGCACAGCTCGATCCCCCGACCAGTGACTCGTCAGTCAAAACCTGAGCGTGAGTTCAGTTCCTTAGCTAGTAGGTTTAGTCTCTGCCCGAGTCGCACAGCTCGGTCCCCCGACCAGTGATTCGTCAGTCAAAACCTGAGCGTGAGTTCAGTTCCTTGGCCAGTAGGTTTAGTCTCTGCCCGAGTCGCACAGCTTAGTCCCCCGACCAGCGACTCGTCAGTCCAAACCTAAGCCCAAATTCAATTCCTCGGCCAGCAGGTTCAGTCTCTGCTCAAGTCGCACAGCTCGATCCCCTGACCAACGGCTCATTAGTCTAAACTTGAGCCCGAGTTCAATTCCTCAGCCAGCAGGTTCAGTCTCTACCCGAGTCGCATAGCTCGGTCCCCCGACCAGTAACTCGTCAGTCCAAACCTGAGCCCGAGTTCAGTTCCTCGGCCAGTAGGTTCAGTCTCTGCCCGAGTCGCACAGCTCAGTCCCCCTACCAATGACTTGTCAGTCCAAACCTGAGCCTGAGTTCAGTTCCTCGGCCAGTAGGTTCAGTCTTTGCCCGAGTTGCGTAGCTCGGTCCCCCGACCAGCGACTCGTTAGTCCAAACCTAAGCTCGAGTTTAGTTCCTTGGCCAGTAGATTTAGTCTTTGCCTGAGTCACGTAGCTCAGTCCCCCGACCAATGACTTGTCAGTCCAAACCTGAGCCCAAGTTTAGTTCCTCGGCTAGTAGGTTTAGTCTATGCTCGAGTTGCACAACTCGGTCCCTCGACCAACGACTCGTTAGTCTAAACCTGAGCCCGAGTTCAATTCCTCAACCAGCAGGTTCAGTCTCTGCCCGAGTCGCACAACTTGGTCCCTTGACTAGAGACTCGTCAATCCAAACCTGAGCCCGAGTTCAGTTCCTCGGCCAGCAGGTTTAGTCTCTGCCCGAGTCGAGTAGCTCGATCCCCCGACTAACGACTCGTCAGTCCAAACCTGAGCCCAAGTTTAGTTCCTCGGCCAGCAGGTTCAATCTTTGCCCGAGTCATACAGCTTGATCTCTCAACCAGCGACTCGTCAATCCAAACCTTAGCCCGAATCAGTTCCTCGGCCAACAGGTTCAGTCTATGCCCGAGTCGCATAGCTTGGTCCGCCGACCAGTGACTCGTCAGTCCAAACCTGAGCCCGAGTTTAGTTCCTCGGCTAGCAGGTTCAGTCTTTGCCCGAGTCGCACAACTCGGTCCCCCGACCAGCGACCCGTCAGTCCAAACTTGACCTTGAGTTCAGTGACTCGGCTAGAAGGTTCAGTCTCTACCCGAATCGCACAACTCGGTCCCCCGACCAGCGACTTGTTACTCCAAACCCGAGCTCGAGTTCTGTTCCTCGGCCAGCAGGTTCAGTCTTTGCCCGAGTCGCACAGCTTGGTCTCCCGACCAGCGACTTGTCAGTCTGACCCTTCCTGAACTGAGCCGCTCAGCCAACAGGTTCAATCCTCCCCGAAGCATGAAACATGGCTTGCCAAGCAGCCTCGCGACAAACCAGCCCAACTACCCCTCACCAGCAATCAGTCCACACGCATCACTCCTACAAGCCAAGCGCACCCCTCGCCCTCTTGCAGGACCCCGTGGCATGCTTCGGTGGGTAGGAGAAGTGATGAGGAATATTTGGGTCTCAGCCACGTTGCAACCGACATGCACCACGCCCTCGCCAAGTCAGCACAAGGAATACTTCCACATGCCAAACAGGATCCGTACCAAGGCACTCCTCAGCACATCCCATCCCAGAAAGCTCGGGATGGCGTCGTATGGCATCATTCCGTGCATTCCGGTATGGCGGTCGTACGAAGGTATCACCTCGCCCCTCGGTGATCGACTGCTGCGCCAAACTTGCGTACGGTCGACCCTCGTACAATAGTATAAAAACACCTGAGCGGATATGGCCAAGAGAAGGAGAAAAAAGAGAGAGGATGAAGCACTAACTTAATCGTCGAGAGGCCAAAGTCGGGGACCACCCAACAATGGCCTTCTGTGCAGGAGTACGGTCATCCCTGGAAGTGCGACCCCCGAGGAGAGAGACGCCCTCCCGAAGACGATATCGGCATCTAGATCGAGAGGCGCCCCCCTTAGACGGACGTGGCATCCCGACCCGTGGGTGTGATCAGTCTTAGATTCTCGTTCGACCGATCATAGACTCCCTACATCGACCCAAGGACCTGACTCACCAGCCACGGTGATGCATTTGTTCACCAACACAGTGTATTGGCAGGATTCTAAAGCAGCAAGCTCCAATAGGTCCACCGGAGAGCTGTGATCTTATACCACTTGAAATAAATTATTTATTGATTTATCCAAGGAGGTCTATTATTAGCTCCAAGAGAATTCACGTACGAGATGAGATGGAGACAGAGATGAACTAAAGAACAATTTAACGTAACAAAATACTTAAATCAACCTTTATGCAATTGAGAAATTTTAGAGAGATGTATACGTGATAGTGGTGGCAAGAAAGGGTAACAATGATGAAGACATGTGGGAGAGATCAAAGTTTCTCTTCCTCATTTATCCTTTATCAAAAAAAAAATTAAGTACCCTTAAATTTTACATAATAAATAAAAAAACTTAATTTTTTTTTAAATTTATGTGAAAGAATATATATATATATATATATATATATATATATATGAAAGGGATTTTGAGCTGTAGTTTATATTAAATTCTCATATAATGAATGATTTGAGTTTTTCTTAGTATTCATTTTTGAAAATTTATATTTTACTGTGTTTCTCAGTCTCCCACAAACAATGGAATGGAAATCATGGAGAAATGGGAGAGGGCCAAACACATAATTTTTGCTGTACCTCAACGAGTAATCAAACGTATATAAAAAATTGGAACATGTACAATTTCCCATAATTTACCGACTTCACTACCCTCTCTCTCATACTCTATTCCGACTAAACACCTTTGCTGCTACTTGTACTCTACTGTAACACCCCCGTGGCCTCCCCAAGTTCCCCGTCTCCGTGTTCTCCTCATCCTTGATGAACCTGCTCCAGAACCAGTGCTCCTTCCACAGCAGGCTCATCTCTTCGATGGGAATGTTCTTGGTCTCCGGCAGGAACAGCGCTACGAAGACGGTCATGACCACCACCCACCCCGCGAAGAAGAAGAAGAGCCCATACTTCATGTGGCAGAGTGCGGTGAGGAAGATCTGTGCGATCAAGAACGTGAAGAACATGTTGACGGACACGGCGATGCACTGCCCCACCGACCGGATCTCCAGGGATAAGATCTCACTGGGGATCAGCCACCCCAGCGGCCCCCATGACCATGCAAAGGCCGCTATGTAGACGCAGATGAAGAACAAGACGCAGCTGGCGTACGCCCTGGAGATATCTGTCGCTTCCCCCGTTGATCCGAACTTGAGCGTGATCAGAGTCCCCACGATCAGCTACAGCGCAAGCGAAGATAGCAGCAATGAGATCCGAAGCGTTTGATCATGGGATTGTGGTGGTCGGTTGAATACCTGAGATATCAGCATCTGAACTCCGCCGTGCAAGAGGAGCCCCCTGCGACCGACCTTGTCGACGGTGATGATGGAGATCAAGGTGGCAACGACGTTGACGGTGCCGATGATGACTGTTGACACGAGGGAGGTCTGACCGCTGAAACCCACGGCCTTATAGATCAGGGGGGCGTAGAACATGATGATGTTAATGCCCGTCAATTGCTGGAAGAAAGGGATGAGGATGGCCATGGCGAGCTGGGGGCGGTACTTCCGCTCCATTATGACGGACCAGGGGTCCCTGATTTCCTTGCACCTCTTGTTGGCCGCCACGAGGTCGCTAAACTCCAGGCTGATGTCGTCGACGCCGCGGATCAGGCGCAGCGTGGCCTCGGCTTCCTCGGTGTGGCCGCGCTCGATGAGGGAGTTGGGCGTCTCGGGGAGGACCAGCGAGCCGACGGCGATGATGGCGGCGGGGACGCAGGCGAACGCCAGGCTGACTCGCCACCCCCACGCCCCCTCTATCTTGTTGGTGAAGTAGTTGATGATGTTGGCGATGAGGATGCCGATGGTGACCATGAGCTGGAACATGATGTTCAGCATTCCGCGGAGCCGTGGAGGTGCGATCTCGGAGAGATAGATCGGCACCGACTGCAAATGGAAGCCAAGAAAAAGGGTAAATCTCTCATCACGTGATTTGCCGCGCAGATTCGGATTACATGATCTCATTTCACCTGGATCGCATATCCCACACCCACGCCGAGGAGGAAGCGGCCGAGGATGAGCATGAACAGGTTGTCGGCCGTGGCGTTGATTCCTGCACCGAGAATGAAGGCCATCCCTCCCCGGAACATGGACCACTTCCGCCCAAAGAAATCCGTCACCAAGGACGCAACGAAGGAGGTGAGGAGCGCCGCCACATACAGCGAAGAAGTGAAGGCGGTCAGGAGCTGGCTATCGAACTTGCAGTAGATGCCGGTGCTCCGATCCTGCTTCTCCTTCTTATACACCGACGGGAAGAACGTCAACAAGAACGAATCCATCGATGTCACCCCTCCTGCCGATCCGAAAGCCAAGAAAAACAATGAGACGGCGATCGTTGGGAAATCAGGGATTTACTATCGTATGACCATGAAAGATTACCGGAGACCCCGACGTCGTAGCCGAAAATGAGGCCTCCCGAGGAGGCCACGACGCAGGTGAGGAAGACGTAGAGGGTCATCCGCGCAGGGTACCCCTTTCCTCTGCCGCCGTCTGTTCTAACCATGGCGCCTCCTGCCATTTTGGACGAGATCAAGCCGAAGAATCCACAGGAAGGAGAATGGCAAAGGAGACGAGATCTTGAGGGGTATAAAGAGAGGATTAATGGAGATGGTGATCGCCATGAATCCCCTTCACAGAGGCAACGGAACGCAATTGTTCGGAGGCCCGGGAGCTGGATATCTAACTTTAGACTCCGATCGGTGGATTAGGTATCAGTTATCGGTTTGCTCGGTGTGCAAATCTTATCTTACTCGCTTCGGCGCCTCTGTTGCCTGAGGAGATAAAAAGTGTCCACCGTAGGTACTCATCTTAATCCCATCAGGTACGCTAATCCATCTCCTAATGTTAGCTTATTGTCGTAATCTTCTCCTTGGTTTCCTTCGATTAGGAGTAGCGTTTGACGACCGTACTAATGCACCATCCAGCAACATATCTGCATTCAAGAAAGTCAGGTGCCAACAAGAAAGTTGATACATTCAGAATCCCCATTAGATTTCAGTGATCTACACAACTGAAAGTGTATTGATGATGAAAATTTAAGAAGGAGAATGTAACAATAAGAGAAATTTTTAAATAAAAAATTTTCTTAAAACTTTTAGATAAGTAATATTGATAAACCGTCTAAGTCTTTATCAAATAATTTTTTTATAAAAAAAAATTGATCCCAAGAACCTAAGCTTGTCCTTTACGGAAAAAATAAAAATAAAAAAACATATCATAGGGTGATGAACAATATTTGGGAACAAAACCCAATTCATTAGACTTAAGCCTTCTCAACCGAAAGATATGAATACGAAAATACCATTCCTCGATCAGGGTCATATTAACTAACATCTAAGACATGTCTGATGGCAGCAAAATCTTTCAGTTCTTCCAAGTAAAACACCCCCTTTTCCCCCGAGTAAAAAATGCTTGGACAATAATTGCTTTATTAGTCAGTCAACTAGAGTTAACGAGCTTCCTGGAATGAAAGACAGAGAAATACTGGTTATCAAAGATTAATTACTTTACTTCTCTTTTTGCACAACGAGAAATGCAGCATATTTTGCACATAAGACTAGTTTCGTGAACATAATACCTTCACCAAGTGCTTGTGGAATGCCCCATCACCGACTTGAAAGATCAACTTGTTCCAATGCCACCATTATATTACCCTTAGAACTTCTCCCAGAGCAAGTGCCCAGTGAGTCCAGTGAGTCCCTCCCTGTGCATGATGATCCAAGAAGAATGAAGTTACAGAATCTAGATTTAGATGGAATTAGTATACAATCGTCAATATTGCCTCCCAAAATGGTATCAAAGTACATTTTGACTTTGGTATTTCCAACACTCTCTGATTATTTCATATATACTTAAACAGAAACATACTACTTTATTACAAAACCACTTCCACAGAAGAAAAACAACAGATGAAAGCATGCTGACATCAAAGCCTACCTGACAGAAAACTGCAAATGGCTCCCTAAGTGGTCCATCACATGACAGCTCACTTGTACTTCCATCTATAAATGTTCCATCCGCAAAAATTACCTGTTTTACAATGTACTAGAAACTTGTTGAACTTGTTCTTATTTTGCAAATTAAATATCTAAATATGCTGATGCCACATGCAGTTCTTAAGCAACTGAAGACATGCCATACAGGAAATGGCTAAGCTAAACAATCTGGCACTAAGGAGAAGCAGTTGCCTAAAGACTTGCAGTTAATCCATGTATCTAACAGAAAGTGACAATGATGAAAATGTCATCATATTATAATTATACAATCGTGAAGGTGACTTGATATGCCTGAAATTAATGAATATAAATTTTTTTAGATCTTTGCTCATTGCATAAACCAACCAAATGAAGGTAGTTTGCTAAGGGACAAGTTATCTTTGTACCGATCAATCAACAAAATATATCAAGCATTATTGGACACAATCAAAGAAAGCTACTTTACAGTTAGTTATACATGAGCAGCTCCTTGAACCAGTATAAAGCAGGAAAATCTGAGAAAGGTAAACTTCAGAACACATATAAGTGCAACTTCAGGGGCATCCAATGACATCAAAAACATTTCTATAAACTTAGAACTATATCATAGCTTTTTTATAAATCTACCCATCAATATTAGGTCAACATGCAGATGTTACAGAAAGCAACCTTATCACCAGAAGGACCACTTAACCAATCAAAGTTAGACGTGTAAAAGAGCTAATAAGATTTAGACCTCTGATGCATATCCAGGAGTAACACCAGCAATTGGCTTTATATAAGATCCTATAGGACAACTTCTTTGCACAGCTTCACAGAAAGATATCAGACGCTCTCGCCCTCCAAGCTGTACCGCCTGTTGAAAAAGAACAAAAAAAAGAGAAGATGACTCATATTTGTCCATTGTGAACCCCACGAGATCATGACAATTAAATACCACATTGTTTTTACTGTTTTGGTACTTTGGAGTTTGGACAATTAAATAACTTGCAATATATATGTGACAATTAACATATTTGCAAGAGTCAACAGAATCCTGCTACTAAGTTTGGAACCACAACATATCCAAATGCACATAATAAAAAAGAAAATGGCATATAGTGGGTCAGATCGACAATTGCATAAGTGAATTAATGTGTCATAATATGTACTACTTATTATGCTGTGTTTAACTAACCCATCTCTATGTCTCTGATAAGTCCAACATGCACTTGAATGAGAAAAAATTACAAAAGAAATCAAATGCATGTACATTAATTTAAACCTGCACAGTATCATGGCGAGGTGCTCGCGGAAGTGGTTGGACCTTATAGCCTTTCACTGACATAACCTCTGCAATGAGTAAACCCCCCTAACAACAAAAATTTGAAAGGAGTTAGTTAGAAGACAAAAAAGACTGAGCCACATATTTTCACACACCTTTATTGCTTCTCCAACCATTTGGGGTGAAAGAAACAAGCCCTGGAAAAGTGCTCGCCTAACATCACCAGTCATGGATCCACAATCTACCCCAAGACCAGGTGCAGAGAGACGGGCTGCTGCAGCCTCGACCCATGTTCTTTTGCCCGCAACATACCCACCACAAGGTGCAATTGTTCCACCAGGATTCTTTATCAAGCTCCCAGCAATTAAATCAGCTCCCTACCAAACATCATGTCAATAAAGTGATGCAGAGTCTTCTGTCATAAAAGATAGCTTTCACATACCACCATAGGAGGCTCATATGTTTCCACAAATTCACCATAGCAGTTATCCACCATGACCATGCAATCTGGTTTCTGCATCTGCAGAATTTCACAAAACAACAGTTTACCAGTAACTAACACCAAATGCACATATAGCAGGGATGTCTGATTAAACACATCCAAGAGTATGCCTTTATCACTCTAATAGCTCTTTCAATATCTGCTATGCTCAAGCTTCGGCGCCAAGAATAGCCGCATGACCTCTGTATTAAGGCACATTTCGTGTGGGGTCTCACAGCAAAAGAAAGGGCATCCCAGTCGAGGCCCCCATCTTCTGCAAGCTAAAACATGTTTGTTAGGAGAAGAAAATACACAAAGAAAGGAATTTAATATTTCTCATCATGTTTAACGAAATGCCTTAGAGAAAGAAATTCTACTGGAACTTCATGGTATGTCACTCCAAAATCTTTCAGAGATCCAGTGATAGATGATTCTCTAATCCCAATTACTTCCTCTAAGGTGTCATAAGGAGTTCCAGCAACTGCTAAAAGCTGGTAATAACAAGGTGTCATCAGCCTTTATATCTTAGAACAAACTGAACCAAAGATAATAAGTAGATTCAACTGGAATCCAGAGTTAAAAGCCATAACAAGCAACAAAAAGTTCACCTCATTCCCAGGCCTCAGAAAAGCAAACAAAGCACAAGCAATAGCATGTGTGCCAGAGAAAAACTGCACAGAGGGAGGAAAAAAAGAGTTTCAACTTTCAAGTATGTAACTAAATCAAAAGAATGAACTGAACAAGTCATTATAAACCTGAGAACGAACTATTGCTGATTCTGCCCCAACAATTTCAGCAAAAACAGAGTCAAGTGCTTCACGGCCCCCACCATCATCATGACCATAGCCAGTGCATCCATTGAAATGCTGGTACAGAATAGTTAGTATGTTGTGAAGCAAAATTAAACTAGTGTCAGAAACTTTTGCAATAGTGAAGTGAATATAGGAGTCAAGTAACCATACAAATAATTCAAAAAACCAAATTTGTATGATGGACTGTAAACAACAGATACAAAGGCTTCAATCTGAATAAGTCACAGTTTGCTGCTTAATTCTGGGTTTATAACTTCAAACTCATTTTAATATGATAGAGTCAGCAAGGACATCTGGTAAAAATAATTCCCTATATCACTCCAAACTTGAACTCAAGCCATATTCTTAAAATTCACATAAAAATTGCAAATTGTTATATTATTTTTCACATGGAAAATTTTAAAATTTTGTCAATTCTTGATCAAGATGATATGATGACTGTCGCGTTCTCTCTCGCACATATTTGTCGCCTAGGGAAAGGCAACACTTTTAGGCAAAGGACCAAAAGAAAGCCAACAGATTTGAAAAAAAGAATTAGTCCATTTGAATAATGCCATGCCAGAGAAAAGTATTATAATATGCTCTCAGTATTTATCTAACAAAGCTGAATACAAATGCAGTAGTGAAAACAGTAAACAAGAATAGGAAGAATACAATTAAAGTGCATAACATATACGAGACTTCCAAATTTTCATGAAAGAATTGACTGCTCAGGATACGTATATATATGAACATAGCAATTAAGGAGGCCCTGAATAAGCATTTGCAGAACCAGACATCAATTTCCTACTTTCGATGACTTACAGATACACATTAAGCAGCAAATAAGTGACAAATATTTATCAGAAAACAACGAGCTTCGGAAAGAGATGGCTTTACATGAGATCCAACTCCAGCGTTCTGAAAAGCTTTCAGAACCCGCATAGAGTTGTGCGCCACCAAATTGTCAACCTCTCTGAACTCGGAATACAAGGACTCCACTGCTTCAGCCACCTAAACGCCCAAAAAAGGAACCCGATTTAGGGTTCCAGTTGAGGTTGGTGTTTCAAGATTACAAAGAAGGCAAATGCAGCATTCATCACACTGAACCGAGGAGGATAAAGGAAGGACTCACCTCAGGGACGAAGGGTTGCGGAGGGTAAGCAGAAGTAGCGCAGGGCAAGGTGGCGCGTGGCGCGGTATCAACCGCGCGGGCGAAGCACACGGCAGGCGGCAATCTTCGAGGCAGCGGCGACCGCGCAGGGCAGGCCACGACAGTGAAAGCGGCGGACGAGGAGGAGGAGAACAAGGATAAGGCCATGGTTTGGCTCCCAGAGTCGGGAATTGGTCGAGCGAGACGGCTTCGGTCTGCGCTCGGAGACTTTAGTGGAAGACGCACTTAACTCTTCTTTTTATTTAAAGCATGAGACTAATCCTTATTATATATTTCAAAGAGTAACTCATTAACTCCCCTCCTAAAGCATGAGACTAATCCTTGTCATATGTGTTCAATAGAGCCCAAGAACCCTAATTAGTGTTGTCATAACCCAAACAATATTCTTTAGGCAGACTCTACATCGCGTGACGGCTCTGCTTGCTTTCAGCATGTAGATGAAGCGACTCTGCAAGGGTTACTGCTCGTCTGCTTCTCCTCCTTCTCAATCTCAAATCTTCCTCCTCCGTGATTCCGGCGAGAATGGCCGTCGCCACATTTCGAAGCCCCTCCTCTACGCCGCCCGTCTCCAGGCCGCCACCAATTCCGGCTCCTTCTCCTGCGGCCTCCGGCTCCATGCCCACATCATTAAGTCGGGACTCGACTCCGATCGCTTCGTCGGCAACAGCCTCCTATCCCTCTACTTCATGCTGTGCCCCGACTTCTCCGTCACCCGCCACGTGTTTGAGAGTTTGCCCGTAAGGGATGTCATCTCCTGGACCTCCATGGTCTCCGGCTACGTTCGCGCCGGCCGGCCCCTGGAGTCCCTTCTTATGTTCGTCAAGATGTCTACTTTCGGCGGCGTCGAGCCGAATGCTTTCACCCTGTCCTCTGCGGTGAAGGCAAGTTCCGATCTTGGAGACGTCAGGCTCGGTAGGTGCTTCCATGGGATGGTTATGACGCGTGGTTTCGAAACCAATCATGTGATTGCGAGCGCGCTCGTCTATATGTATGGCAGGAACTCTGCATTGGAAGACGCAAGGCGGATGTTTGACGAATTGCCCGAGCCCGACGCTATCTGTTGGACTTCGATTATCTCCGTGTTGACATGGAACGACGAATTCGCCAAAGCACTGAGCTGTTTCTATTCGATGATTAGGAGGAAGGAACTTGGGATTGTTCCGGATGGATTCACGTTTGGGACAATCATGACTGCATTGGGTAATTTGGGTAGGGCGAGACAGGGCAAGGAAGCACACGCCAAAGTCATCACGAGTGGTCTCTGTGGCAATGTGGTGGTCGAAAGCAGCACCCTTGACATGTATGCGAAATGTGGGTACATGGAAGATTCACGGAAGGTATTCGATCGAATGGCATCTAAGAATGCGGTGTCCTGGTGTGCCTTGCTCGGAGGGTACTGTCAAGGCAAGAACTACAGAGCTGTCCTCAATCTGTTCCGTGTGATGGATAAAGGAGATGATCACTACAGCTTTGGCACGGTTCTTCGGGCTTGTGCAGGTCTTGCAGCCATAAGAGAGGGGAAGGAGCTACATTGCAAGTATCTAAGAATGGGGGGCTGGAGAGACGTAGTTGTGGAATCTGCTCTGATCGATCTCTATGCAAAATGTGGCCTCATAGACTATGCCTATCATCTCTTTACTAAGATCTTCATCAGAAACTTGATAACATGGAACGCAATGATCTGTGGCCTTGCGCAAAATGGTAGAGGTGGGCAAGCCATCGAGGTGTTTGATGAGATGGTCAAGGGAGGGACTAAGCCTGACTGTATCAGTTTCATCGGGGTTCTGTTTGCTTGTAGCCACACAGGTTTGGTCGATGAAGGCAAGAGATACTTCAGATCAATGACTGAAGATTACGGGATCGCAGCGGGGATCGAGCACTATAATTGCATGGTTGATCTCTTGAGCAGGGTTGGTCTACTCAAAGAAGCTGAAGATTTGATAAACAATGCAAAGTACAGAGATGATTCTTCGCTGTGGGCGGCTCTTCTAGGTGCGTGTGCCACCTACTCTAGCCCAGGAGTGGCGGAACGCGTGGCGAAGAAGATGATGGAGTTGGAGCCACAGTACCACTTGAGCTATGTTCTTCTCGCGAATGTCTACAAGACAGTAGGGCGATGGAACGATGCTTTGCAGGTAAGGAAGTTGATGAGAGAAAGGGGTGTGAGGAAAGCCCCTGGAAAAAGCTGGATTGAAGTGAATCGTAGGACCTGTGTTCTGCTTAATAAAGATGGTGTGGATAAGCCTAGCTTTGAAGATTCTGAAGATCAGTTTCCAGGTATTGTGAATTCATTAGAGCCTGCTAATTCTGAAGAAATGGAGCACAATTTGATCCCAGACTTGCAGCAATCATCATAAATTTGAAGTCACACAATAATTCATAAGAGGAAGAAAGAGAGCAGAGCAATCCAAGCAAATAGAGACATCGATGAAACACACAACATCCATATGAGTTATTTGGAAGGGGATTTCTTCGTGTGGTCTTGAGGACGGGATTTGTTGACTCTTTCTATGTACCGAGCCGCTTTATCGTCGATGTTGGATTTTATCTTTGAAACCATTCTCGGAGGACGAGAGGCAGCAGCTTTATCCTCGGTTTTCTGGTATTCCACCGGCACCTCCATTGGAGAAGCAACACCAAGCTTGCCATCTTTGAGGATGGTGACTGGCACTTGGGATATGGTTTCTTCTTGTTGGATGCTATTTATGTTTCGCTGACCCTCACTGACCTGTTTGAACTTGGACAAGGGAACGAGGAAGCTCAAGAGTCTTTGGCAAATGCCAAGAGGCTCTGCTGCATCATTCCTCTTGTCCATTTCTTACACAGGAAACAGAGGAGGAGGAAGTGATGAAAAACTTACTGCCCACCAATGCAAGCGTTCTATTTGAAGTCCGCGAAGAGACAAGGTAGCGTGGAAATAAAGCAGACTACTGTTGCAAGCAACACATAAAAGAGGAAGGATCCGTTCCTTTGTGTTGCAGACACTAGGATTCTCCAGAATCTAGTTTGTGTTTATATATGAATGCTAGATTCATACCAGACAACACAGAGCTACAAGCAAAGAACTTTTTGCATGAAAGATATGGCATAAAATTTATGCTTGTCCCCTCAGTGACAAGGGTATCTTTGTGTAGTTAAACATACATATGGTGATTAGATACATGTGCTTCACAAGTTATTATTCCTCATCTGATTATGTTTTCTCTATTCAAACTATGATACTGCAACCATCTCTACCTTTCCTTTCAGCAGCTTCAGACACCAGAAACAGAGCATTGCCTTAATTCTAAACTACACCAACAGCAATCATAGCATCAGGCTAATGGACTGTGTAGCCATCCATATGTACATATTTGCTCATGATTAATAGGAGATAATCATATTGTGTAACTACTACTAATTTAGCTTATTTATAAAGGATATATAATGCGATCCATGAGTCATTTCATTACATCTCGATTATTTTAAATACTAATGACATTCAAGTAAGACATACTAGAAAGATGAACTGTGCTTAGTCATATAGATTGGCTTTTCCAGCAATATTCTTTTGTTTTCTGTCATTATTATTCTTGTTTTCTTTCGTCGTTATTATTCTTCATGGTGTTATTCTTTTGTTGCCCTTCGTCGTTATTCTTTGTGTTTCCTTCGACAACGAGTTGCCCTGACAAAAAATATATAAATAAAATTTAGTGCCTGTAATAAACTTTCATAAATAATTTTTAATAAATAAATAATTATGAAATAATATAAATCATGATGCATATATCAAATGGCTCGGATAGAGAATATTCATTGATCTTCCAATGATTGATGGAGAGAAGTCACTTTGGATGGTTAGATTCTTCATCAAACAACAAATAAAATATTTATCTGGCTATCATGTTTGACGATTCATTAGACTCTGTTCCAATGATTCATTAGAAGTGAAAGAAAACATTAACAACTTTGTCATTAGCATCTCTAACAAATATCATAATATTTTAGCAATGAAACAAATATTGTGAACATAATGTAGAATTAGTCAGTCGATAATTCAAATCCATGTAAATACTTTATATTGTTCATCAAGCAAAAAAAAAAAAAAATCATATTATTAATTGAAAAAACCAAAATAATAAAACAAAATTTTAAGAAGCGCAATGACTTACTTCTCGACGGAGAACGCAGCATGGAGCCATCGCCCTCAGGAGAATTCCAAGAGGTGCGTCGAGTCCAGATGATATTTATGAATCGACCCGCTTCATCGTTGATGTCGGACACCGGTATCTCCATCGGAGAAGCAACGCCAAGCTTGCCATCTTTGTAGATGGTAACCGGAACATGGGCCTCGGAGGCTTCTCTCAGACGCCTACTCTCTTCTTGCTGCCTAACATGCCTAAACACAAACAATGAAGATTTATCGACGACCATGTTCCGAAGCATTTGGCCGATGCCACCACCCTCGGTTGCAACCTTCCTCTCCATTTCTTACTGATGATGGAAGATGTTCTGCCGAAGCGTGCTATTTGAAGACCTCGGAACGAGGAGGGTAGCGTCGATGTGAAGCAGCCCGTCTTCCCAAGAAACACGTTAAAGGATCGATAAAAGCAAAGATGACTGTTTGCATGAAAGGAATCCTCGCTTCTCATGTAGAATACCTGTGTCTATGTTTCTTTATTCTATTCAAACTAGGAGGCCGCCATCTTCGTCCTTCTCGCGGCGTAAGCCCCAAGAAATGCGGAGGAGGGCATGAGGATTGTTGACCTGGGAAGTCTTATTGGTCGGCACCGAGGTTCCCAGCGAGATCTAGAGGGGTGAGGGGACATTGGAGCTCTCCTATTTTAGCTTGACCCAGGATTGACCAAAATCTAGTCACATCCACAAGTCTTGATCTTGGTGGTAGAATCTAAGTAGGGGCCTATCTAAGCAGACGCTGCCACTCCCGAATTCTTTTGTTCCGATCAGACTCCCTAGTCAACACAAAGATTTCATCTAGGATTGTGCTGCATGGCACACATTGTTCTGTCACACAATTGGTCGTTTAGTATATATAATAAACTGTCTTCCAGAAGATATCCTCCTTTTTTACGAGATATGTGGATGAAGTATAATTTCACACGTCAATGGAATAACGTTGGGTTATGTCATTTTCTATGTCAGCTAATATCATTTCATCTACCGATGTTAGAATCAAATAATATTGTTATGATAAAAATAACGTTACTGACCCGTTAGCATTCTTTGTGGCTAAGCACTTTATGTACGACTAACCTATTAGTACTCTTTAACTGTTTTGTGTGTTCAGTCATCTCTTTT